TCTTAATCTATGCTTCTGTATGGTTTCTGAGATAGGAAGGATATCGTTCAAGAGCTCCTTGTTTGACATGCTGATGACACAAGATGCTAAGTGGAGGTTGGAGCTTACCAAAATCTTAAACAGATTGCATATATTAATTACTCAATTCAAATACTTGAAATTTTGACAGGTATTTATTGTAAGTTCTCATCCATGTAAGAATGTGAAAATTCTTGGTTAGAAGAATTCTGATTAAAAATGCTGGTCACAACAGAGGCATGGATAGCATCCTGGTTGTCATAAAAAAGAGTGAACAAATATTAAAAAATGAATCAGCAAACTTAAAAAAGAATCAGCAAACCTAAAAAAGGAATCAGCAAACAATTTGAATTTTTGTTAAGGCTGCTGTTATGTTTACAATGGACTAATGATATTAAGAAAGGCATGAATCTGTCTCCCGTTGTCTTGTTCAACTGCCAGATATCTTGATAAAAAATATTGTATCTCTGGCATAGCGTGGTTAACAGAGAATAGAATGGATATATAAGCTTTTGTGCAAACCACTCTCCCATAACTACTTCTTAGGCAGTAATAACTCTCAAAAGTTTTTACAGCCACTGTCAACCTTAAAAGGAGATAGCATGTGTTAAAAAACATGGTTATTTAAATGAAAGTTTAAGTCAACATATTTTTTTTATATAGAGAACTGTTTTATTTAAAATAAATAAATTAACAGCAAATTCTGTCTGTCCATGTGTCTGAAATTCCCTCTAACTGGGGCCACACTTCAACTGGTGTTTGAACATCCAGCATTGGAATTTGTGTCTGGATGAGGAAGAAAGAATTAAAAATTCAAATTTTAAAGTAACTGAAAAAAATTAGTGATTTTTTAATTTATATTGAGTTTAAAGTAACACAAAAATTAGTTTAAAATATCTCCAAAACTTTGTGAATTGAGGAAATCAATTTTATTTCTTCAAAATGCCAAGGAATCAGAGTTAAAGTAAGATGTTTTGTGATGTGAGGTTTTGAAGTTCTGTGGAGTTAGTGATTTTAAGAACTCAATTTTCAATCTGCATTGGACTTTCAGTCCAAATCAGAATCAAAGTGAGGTTTTGAAGTTACATGGCATGAATTGAGGAATTCAAAGTTATTTCTTCAAAATGATCATTGCTAAGCTGGACCAGAGGTACCTTTAGTTTTGGCCAGAGGCCTAATTAACCCTTCACAGGAGCTAGCTTAAAAGTCTACATGGAGTCTGGTATTTAAGCTATTTTAAAAAATTTTTAGAAATGGACATGAACTTGATATAAAGAAAGTTCATACATTTTAGTAAATCTCATTACTCACAAATTATTTGTGTGTTATCTGTGATAAAAGACAAAAGGAAGTGTAAGCAAGTTGTCAATTGTTGATGACTATTTTGATCTCTAGTGGCTTCACTTTATCCTTTGGACAAAGGGGTTCTTTTGGTATAGATTTGTGCACACAAACTATAATTTCTGAGTTAACTGACTGATCATTTATAAAATCACATATTTTTTTCAAGTGATCACCTCTAAGATTTTTGAATTTCACTCAGCTCAAAAGTGATTGGATGAAAATTCTATTTTTATACCTTACAATATGTGTTTGATCATGTCATACAGCTTTTTTTTTTTAAATATACAAATTATTAATTATATTTTTTTACCCTATTAGTGAGAGACAAGAATACACTGACTACAATCATGTGCAGAGGAGTAAAGCCAATACCCCAATAGTGCCTCCCATTTGCCATACCTGTGTATATATTTTTGACTTATTATTTACTGTATGAATGCAATGTCTTTTTTCCTTCTGATTATTTTCTACTTTACAAATTAAATGTCCCTTTCCTTCCACCTACCATCTACTCTACAAATGTAATGTTTTTTTCTCTCTTGTTCTCAATTTGAAAAATGCAGTATTTTTTTCCATCTTCACATACTATCTACTGCATGAATGCAATGTAGACAAATAAACCCCACATTTCAAAAGGAGACACCCATTTCTCATAATTATGTATACTTTTTGGACTCCTGTGTAAACCTGACCTATGTCTGCCTTTTTGGCTCTTGTGCAAGCTGGATTTGTTTTTACTGGTTTATCATTGATGAAAATGATAGAGTTTGGCATTAAATAACCTGGAAAATTTTGATATTACCATAAATGAAAATAAACCTATCTTTAAATCTTTTGGCAGGATTTTTCTGGTGCCTTTCATTTTGAGATATCATTGTTGATATTGATTTTGCATAGGTTTTTGACATGACTTTGAAATCTTTACAAGGTAGCTATTTTAATTATTAAATCTGATTATCACTACAAGTTTTAAGTACAAAACTGAGAAGCTAAATAATGTAAATCTTCTTCTATGTGCCATATATCTTCAGGATATTAGCAATCTCCTGTCCTTTGTAGATCTTAATAAATTTTGTCTTTTTGTTATCTCCCCTAAGCCTTGTTCTGCCATCTATGTATTTAAGCTCACTAGGTAGGTTGTGCTTTGTTTTCCTGTCTCTCTTGCTTTCAATATCTCCTGTGAGTATCAAATTTTTCAAGCTGTTTTTCTTAAGTACCCTAGAAAATACACTTTCTGATATTAAATATAAGTGTCCTTTTTGTTTCCATTTTTTAAAAACTTTGTTGTACACATGTTCAGTCAATGGTATTCTCAATATCCTTCTGTAGAACCACCTTTATGTTGCTTCAAGTCTGTTTATCATTTGTGAGAAGATTGTTCAGCATTCACTGCTATATAGGAGGACTGACATCATGTAACAGTTCAGTACTTTTGTGTTTGTTTCTAATGAAATTTTTGTATTTCTCAATAATTTGCTTAACTTTTGCTATTCCAAAATGCTTTCAGATTTCCATGTTGCTCTTTTCATCCTCTGTTGAATCACTCCCCAGCTATTTAAATTGTTTACTTGGTATCGCCAGTTTGTAATTTGAATTGTGGAATTGTGTGTGCGCGCGCGCGCGCGCGCGGACTGCACCCCCTTCCTGTCATGTTCAGCTAGATATAGCAGTAAATGCTGACGTGAGGAAGGTTACTCCTGATAACGTCTAAAATCAGAATTTGAATTTTTTCCCGCACGTGTCCTGATGTCACAGACGAACAGCGTTTTCAAGTTAGTTGCGGCCTGATATTCAAGCTAGAAGGTTAACTCATTTATTCCGTGCCCCTAACCCATACGTGGGCCGGAATATCTTATTCTTAACTAACCAAAACTTCAACATGTCAATATCACACTTTTCCAAGACTTTTCCTCGTCTTGATGTGAACAGCATGTTGAACTTTCCTCCGTTTTCAGCTAGAAAATGTAGAGACTACGACACTGTCGTCAATATATTTTTCCAAGACTAAATTCCTCGTCTTGAAGTGAACATGTTTGAACCTACTTCATTTTCTACCAGAATCTACGACACTGTCGTCACCACACTTTTCCAAGACCAAATTCCTCGTCTTGATGCGAACAACTTTCAAACTTCCATTTTCTACCAAAATCTACGACATTGTCGTCATCATACTTTTCCAAGACCAAATTCCTCATCTTGATGCGAACAACTTTCAAACTTCCATTTTCTACCAAAATCTACGACATTGTCGTCATCATACTTTTCCAAGACCAATTCGTCGTCTTGATGCGAACAACTCAGAATTTTCCTTCACTGAAGATTGATGAACTTTTCATACACCTCTTTTGTATTCTAACCTTTACGAACCAGTTTAAAAAAAAAAATAACATTACACACACATTATTAAACCTCGAAGTGAGTACTTTTCCTATTTGTGTACACATACACCTTTCGTACAAAAAGACACTATTCCAGAACTTTCATTCTGAAGAAACTTTTCCCGCCTTAGCCATCTTGGTTTTTTCTGTTTTGGCGCGGAACTTTAACATTCTACTAGTCTCTACATAATACTAACAGCCTACAGGCTAAAAACAGTCCTTACTTTTTCTGATAGTCTCCACTGTTGAGACAAGATTATTTGTTATTAAAATAAAATTTCTTATCTGTTTTCCACCAGACTCATTTTGTCGTTTAATCCTGGCTATCTATATTTTACTATTTTTGTGCATGTGTTTAATGACCCCTTTTCCTCACTAAAGATCACTCATTTAATATTCTTACTTTGTTTGTGGATTCGGTAGTCATAAGTAGTGTCTGGCACAAGGCCACCTTTTAATAAACCAGCACTGCATACTACCGGGTCTGCAACAGAATGTTGAACAGTTCTTTTTGCTAGCAACCATGCATTGAGTCTACTTACAATTGATGTTTAGTCCTTTCTTCTTGCTTTTCTTTACTATCTTCTCTAGGAGTTCTTGTAGGTGTCTTTCTTTATCTGCTATTAACACTATTGTTGGTCTTTTGTTATTAAGATTGTAGTGGTCAATAATGATTCCTCATAAGAATTCTAATTCTCTCAGAATCACCTCACTATATAGGTTGAATTAGTCTGGTGAGAAGACACATCCTTGTCTTACACCCCTGTTTTTATTTTCGCATATTTTACAATGTTACACTTGAAATGGCTCGATGTAACTGTAGGTTCTATGTGAACAGTTGCCATCTTTTGTCTTCTTAATTGCTGTTCTTTTATTGTTCTCTTTCTTTAATGGTGTTTTTTCTCATATTCTATAACAGTCAGTAACCCCTTGAATCTTAGCGACTTTATTGCCTTGCTTCAGGTGAAATGATTTTACTGAATTCATTTTCTATCCGGAGAAAGGGAAAACAAACAGAAAAGACTTCAAGTGGTAATTATGAGGATGCAGATATTGAACTGAAAAGTCAGAGAAAAAGATAACATATTTTTCATGTAGATAGTAAGAGCTGATAAAAAATTACATTACAGTCATCCAGTTGATAGCCAGAGGAGAGATAGAAAGAAAGACATTGTATTTGTCAATAAGAGGAACAACATTTGTTGAAAAGATTATTTAGAAGAGAGAAAAAATACATTGGATTTGTGGAGAGAAATAACATCACATCTTTGAAGCTGACAGTAAGAGGGGAAATAATAAATTGCATTTGTCAAGTAGATGATAAAAATGGAGAGAGAAGATGTTGCATTTTTCAAGAAGATAGCAATGAGAGAGAAAATCACTGCATTTGTCAAGTAGATGATAAAAATGGAGAGAGAAGATGTTGCATTTTTCTATTGGATAGCAATGAGAGAGAAAATCATTGCATTTGTCAAGTAGATGATAAAAATGGAGAGAGAAGATGTTGCATTTTTCAAGAAGATAGCAATGAGAGAGAAAATCATTGCATTTGTCAAGTAGATGATAAAAATGGAGAGAGAAGATGTTGCATTTTTTCAAGAAGATAGCAATGAGAGAAAAATTGCATTTGTCATATAGATGATAAAAATGGAGAGAGAAGATGTTGCATTTTTCAAATAAATAGCAATGAGAGAGAAAATGATTGCATTTGTCAAGAAGATGATAAATGGAGAGAAAAGATGTTGCATTTTCAAGAAGATAGTAATGAGAGAGAAAATCATTGCATTTGTCAAGTAGATGATAAAAATGGAGAGAGAAGATGTTGCATTTTTCAAGTAAATAGCAATGAGAGAGAAAATGATTGCATTTGTCAAGAAGATGATAAATGGAGAGAGAAGATGTTGCATTTTTCAAGAAGATAGCAATGAGAGAGAAAATCATTGCATTTGTCAAGTAGATGATAAAAATGGAGAGAGAAGATGTTGCATTTTTCAAGAAGATAGCAATGAGAGAGAAAATCATTGCATTTGTCAAGTAGATGATAAAAATGGAGAGAGAAGATGTTGCATTTTTTTCAAGTAAATAGCAATGAGAGAAAAAAAAAATGATTGCAGAAGAAGATGATAAATGGAGAGAGAAGATGTTGCATTTTTCAAGAAGATAGCAATGAGAGAAAAAATCATTGCATTTGTCAAATAGATGAGAAAAAATGGAGAGAGAAGATGTTGCATTTTTCAAGAAGATAGCAATGAGAGAGAAAATCATTGCATTTGTCAAGTAGATGATAAAAATGGAGAGAGAAGATGTTGCATTTTTCAAGTAAATAGCAATGAGAGAGAAAATGATTGCATTTGTCAAGAAGATGATAAATGGAGAGAGAAGATGTTGCATTTTTCAAGAAGATAGCAATGAGAAAGAAAATCATTGCATTTGTCAAGTAGATGATAAAAATGGAGAGAGAAGATGTTGCATTTTTCAAGAAGATAGCAATGAGAGAGAAAATCATTGCATTTGTCATCTAGATGATAAAAAATGGAGAGAGAAGATGTTGCATTTTTCAAGAAGATAGCAATGAGAGAAAATCATTGCATTTGTCAAGTAGATGATAAAAATGGAGAGAGAAGATGTTGCATTTTTTTCAATGAGAGAAAAAGATAGCAAGTAGATGATAAAATGGAGAGAGAGAAAATAGCAATCATTTGCATTTGATAAAATGAGAGAGAAGATGATTTTTTCAAGAAAAAAATGAGAGAGGTTGCATTTTTCAAAAGATGATAAAAATGAGAGAGAAAATTTTTGCAAGAAGATATCAAAGAAAAATGATTGCATTAATCAAAAGATGAGCAAAATGGAGAGAGAAGATGTTTGCATTTTTCAAGAAGATAGCAATGAGAGAAAATCATTGCATTTGTCAAGAAGATGATAAAAATGGAGAGAGAAGATGTTGCATTTTTTCAAGAAGATAGCAATGAGAGAGAAAATCATTGCATTTGTCAAATAGATGATAAAAAATGGAGAGAGAAGATGTTGCATTTTTCAAGAAGATAGCAATGAGAGAGAAAATCATTGCATTTGTCAAGTAGATGATAAAAATGAGAGAGAAGATGTTGCATTTTTTCAAGAAGATAGCAATGAGAGAAAATCATTGCATTTGTCAAGTAGATGATAAAAATGGAGAGAAGATGTTGCATTTTTTCAAGAATTTGATAGCAATGAGAGAGAAAATGTTCATTTTTCATTTGTCAGAAGAGCATGAGATGAAAATGGAGAGAGAAGATGTTGCATTTTTTCAAGAAGATAGCAATGAGAGAGAAAATCATTGCATTTGTCAAGTAGATGAAAAATGGGAGAGAGAAGATGTTGCATTTTTTTCAAGAAGATAGCAATGAGAGAAAATCATTGCATTTGTCAAATAGATGATAAAAATGGAGAGAGAAGATGTAAAAATGCATTTTCAATAAAAGATGCATTTTCAAGAAGATAGCAATGAGAGAAAAATTGCATTTGTCAAGTAGATGATAAAATGGAGAGAGAAGATGTTGCATTTTTTCAAGAAGATAGCAATGAGAGAGAAAATCATTGCATTTGTCAAGTAGATGATAAAAATGGCATTTTTCAAGAAGATAGCAATGAAAGAAAACATTTTTTAAAAATGGAGAGAAGATGTTGCATTTTTCAAGAAGATAGCAATGAGAAAAAATGATTGCATTTGTCAAGAAGATGATAAAATGGAGAGAGAAGATTTTTTGCATTTTTTCAAGAAGAAGCAAAGAAAATCATTGCAATGTAGATGATAAAAAAAAAAAGATGTTAATTTTTCAAGAAGATAGCAATGAAGAGAAAAAAAAATGGAGAGAGAAGATGTTGCATTTTTCAAGAAGATAGCAATGAGAGAAAAAATTATTGCATTTGTCAAAAAGATGATAAAAATGGAGAGAGAGAAGATGCAAATTGCATTTTTAAAAAAGAGAATAGCATTTTTCAAGAAATAGCAATGAGAGAGAAAATCATTGCATTTGTCAAGTAGATGATAAAAATGGAGAGAGAGAAGATGTTGCATTTTTTTTCAAGAAGATGCAAATTTTGCAATGAGAGATAAAAATCATTGCATTTTCAAAAATGAGAGCTAAAAATCAATTTGTAGATGATAAAAATGGAGAGAGAAGATGTTGCATTTTTTCAATGAGAGAGAAAATTTACATTTGAGTAGATGATAAAAATGGAGAGAGAAGATGTTGATTTTTCAAGAAGATTAATGAGAGAAAATCATTGCATTTGTAAACAGATGATCAAAGAAAAAATGGAGAGAGAAGACAGAAATTGCATTTTCAAGAAGATAGCAATGAGAGAGAAAATCATTGCATTTGTCAGTAGATGATAAAAATGGAGAGAGAAGACATAAAAATGGAGAGAGAAGATGTTGCATTTTTCAAGAAGATAGCAATGAGAGAGAAAATCATTGCATTTGTCAAGTAGATGATAAAAATGGAGAGAGAAGATGTTGCATTTTTCAAGAAGATAGCAATGAGAGAGAAAATCATTGCATTTGTCAAGTAGATGATAAAAATGGAGAGAGAAGATGTTGCATTTTTCAAGAAGATAGCAATGAGAAAGAAAATCATTGCATTTGTCAAGTAGATGATAAAAATGGAGAGAGAAGATGTTGCATTTTTCAAGAAGATAGCAATGAGAGAGAAAATCATTGCATTTGTCAAGTAGATGATAAAAATGGAGAGAGAAGATGTTGCATTTTTCAAGAAGATAGCAATGAGAGAGAAAATCATTGCATTTGTCAAGATAGATGATAAAATGGAGAGAGAAGATTTTTTTTCAAGAAGATAGAATGAGAGAGAAAATCATTGCATTTGTCAAGTAGATGATAAAAATGGAGAGAGAAGGAGAGAGAAATTTCATTTGTCATTTTTTCAAGAAAATAGCAATGAGAGATAAAATCATTGCATTTTTCAATAGATGATAAAATGGAGAGAGAAGATGTTGCATTTTTCAAGAAGATAGCAATGAGAGAAAATCATTGCATTTGTCAAATAGATGATAAAATGGAGAGAGAAGATGTTGCATTTTTCAAGAAGATAGCAATGAGAAAGAAAATCATTGCATTTGTCAAGTAGATGATAAAAATGGAGAGAGAAGATGTTGCATTATATTTGTATAATTTAAAAAATGGAGAGAGAAGAGAAGATAGCAATGAGAAAGAAAATCATTGCATTTGTGTAGATGATAAAAATAGAGAGAAGATGTTTTTTTCAAGAAGATAGCAAAGAGAGAAAATCATTGCATTTGTCAAGTAGATGATAAAAATGGAGAGAGAAGATGTTACATTTTTTCAAGCATAGCAATGAGAAAGAATTTATTGCAATCAAGTAGATGATAAAATGGAGAGAAGATGTTGCATTTTTCAAGAAGATAGCAATGAGAGAGAAAAAATGGATGATAAAAATGGAGAGAGAAGATGTTGCATTTTTCAAGAAGATAGCAATGAGAGAGAAAATCATTGCATTTGTCAATAGATTTTAAAATGGAGAGAGAAGATGTTTTATTTTTCAAGAAGATAGAGAGAGAAAATCATTTTAAGATAGCAACCAAAATCATTGCATTTGTCAAGAAGATGATAATGAGAAAAATGGAGAGAGAAGATGTTGCTTTTTCATCCAATGTTTTGTTCATTGCATTCTTGGCAGATGATAAAAATGGGAGAGAAGATGTTCATTTTTCAAAGAAGATAGCAATGAGAGAGAAAATCATTTGCATTTTGTCAAATAGATGATAAAAAATGTTGCATTTTTTCAAAAGGAGAGAATATGTTGCATTTTTAAAAATGGAAGGGTCATTTTCAAGAAGCAATGAGAAAGAAAATCATTGCATTTGTCAGATGATAAAAATGGAGAGAGAAGATGTTGATTTTGATGGAGAGAGAAAAAAGAGAAGATGTTGCATTTTTCAAGAAGATAGCAATGAGAGAGAAAATCATTGCATTTTGAACTTAGATGATAAAAATGGAGAGAGAAGATGTTGCATTTTTCAAGAGAATCGCAATGATGAGAGAAAACATTGCATTTGCAAAAGATGATAAAAATGGAGAGAGAAGATGTTCCATTTTTCAAGAAGATACAATGAGAGAGAAAATCATTGCAACCTCCAAGTAGATGATAAAAATGGAGAGAACCAACAAATTTTTTGGCAATGAGAGATATTTGCAAATAGATGATAAAAATGGAGAAGAAATTGCATTTTCAAGAAATAGCAATGAGAGAAAAATAGATGATAAAAAATGGAGAGAGAAGATGTTGCATTTTTCAAGAAGATAGCAATGAGAGAGAAAATCATTTGCATTTGTAAAAATGGAGAGAAGATAATAAAAATAGGGACAGACAAGATGATTGGAGAGAAGATTTTCAAGAAAGATAGCAATGAGAGAGAAAATCCATTGCATTTGTCAAGGGATGAAAAAATGGGAGAGAAGATGTTGCAAAAATCATTGCATTTGTCAAGTAGATGATAAATCCTTTGAAGATGCATTTTTTGAAGATTTGAGAGAGAAAATCATTGCATTTGTCAAGAAGATGATAAATGAGAAGATGATAAAAATGAGAGAAAATGTTGCATTTTTCAAGAAGCTTAAAAATGAGAGAGAAAATCATTACATTTGTGAATTAAATAGAATGATAAAAATGGAGAGAGAAGATGTTGCATTTTTCAAGAAGATAGCAATGAGAAAGAAAAATCATTGCATTTTGTCAAGTAGATGATCAAGAAAAAATGGAGAGAAGATGTTGCATTTTTCAAGAAATAAAAATGAGAGAGAAAATCATTGCATTTGTCAAATGGAGAGAAGATGATCAAAAATGGAGAGAGAAGATGTTGCATTTTTCAAGAAATCAATGAGAGAGAAAATCATTATTTCAAGAAGATGATTGAAAGAAAAGATGTTGCATTTTTCAAGAAGATAGATGAGAGAAAAAATTTATGGAGAGAAGATGTTGCATTTTTTTCAAGAGAGAAAATATTGCATTTGTCAAGATGAGAGAGAGAAATGATTGCATTTTAGCAAGAAAATCATTGCATGATGATAAATGGGAGAGAAGATGTTGCATTTTTCAAGAAAGCAATCCTCAAGAAGATGATAAAATGGAAAAATGTTGCATTTTTCAAGAAATAGTAATGAGAGAGAAAATAAAAAGATGATAAGAGAAGAAGATGTTGCATTTTTTCAAGAAGATAGCAATTGAGAAAATCATTGCATTTGTCAAGAAGATGATAAAATGGAGAGAGAAGATGTTGCATTTTTCAAGAAGATAGCAATGAGAAAGATGAAAATCATTGCATTTGTCAGAAGATGATAAAAATGGAGAGAGAGAAGATGTTGCATTTTTCAAGAAGATAGCAATGAGAGAAAATCATTGCATTTGTCAAGTAGATGACAAAATAAAATGCATTTTTTCAAGGAGAAAGAAATGTTGCATTTTTGATAAAATGAGAGAGAAGATTGCAATGAGAAAGAAAATCATTGCATTTGTCAATAGATGATAAAAATGGAGAGAGAAGATGTTGCATTTTTCAAGAAGATAGCAATGAGAAAAAAATCATTGCATTTGTCAATAGATGATAAAAATGGAGAGAGAAGATCATTAATTTTTCAAGAAGATCAATGAGAGAGAAAATCATTGCATTTTCAGTAGATGATAAAAATGGAGAGAGAAGATGTTGCATTTTTCAAGAAGATCTAAATGAGAGAGAAAATCATTTCATTTGTCTAGATGATAAATGGAGAGAAAATGGAGAGAAGATCTTCATTGCATTTTCAAGAAGATGGAGAGAGCAATGAGAATAGAGAGAAAATCATTCATTTGTCTAGATGATAAAAATGAGAGAGAAGAAGTCTCATTTTTCAAGAAGATAGCAATGAAAAGCATTTTCAAGAAGATGATAAATATCTTGCATTTTCATTATCAAGAGAGAGAAAATCATTGCATTTGTCAAGTAGATGATAAAAATGAGAGAGAAGATGTTGCATTTTTCAAGATCATGCAAGTAGATGATAAAAAATGGAGAGAAATGTTGCATTTTTCAAGAAATCAATGAGAGAGAAAATGCATTTGTCAAGTAGATGATAAAAATGGAGAGAGAAGATGTTGCATTTTTCAAGAAGATAGCAATGAAAATCAGGTAGACAAAATGAGAGAGAAGATGTTGCATTTTTCAAAAATATGTTTAAAATGATAAAATGGAAAAAGATGTTGCATTTTTCAAGAAGATAGCAATGAGAGAGAGAAAATCATTTGCATTTGTCAAATCTATAGATGATTTGAAAAATGGAGAGAGAAGATGTTGCATTTTTCAAGAAGATAGCAAAGAGAGAGAAAATCATTGCATTTGTCAAGTAGATGATAAAAATGGAGAGAGAAATGTTGCATTTTTCAAGAAGATAGCAATGAGAGAAAATCATTGCATTTGTCAAGTAGATGATAAAATGGAGAGAAGATGTTGCATTTTTTAAAAGAAGATAGCAATGAGAGAGAAAATCATTGCATTTGTCAATAGATGATAAAAATGGAGAGAAGATGTTGCATTTTTTCAAGTAAATAGCAATGAGAGAGAAAATGATTGCATTTGTCAAGAAGATGATAAATGGAGAGAAGATGTTGCATTTTTCAAGAAGATAGCAATGAGAAAGAAAATCATTGCATTTGTCAAGTAGATGATAAAAATGAGAGAGAAGATGTTGCATAGATAGAAGATAGCAATGAGAGAGAAAATCATTGCATTTGTCAAGATAGATGATAAAAATGGAGAGAGAAGATGTTGCATTTTAGAAGAAGATAGCAATGAGAGAGAAAATCATTGCATTTGTCAAATAGATGATAAAATGGAGAGAAGATGTTAGATTTTCAAGATAGATAGCAATGAGAGAAAACATTGCATTTGTCAAGAAGATGATAAATGGAGAGAAGATGCATTTGCATTTTTCAAAGAAGATAGCAATGAAATGAAAATGATTGCACTCAAAGAAGATGATAAATGGAGAGAGAAGATGTTGCATTTTTCAAGAAGATAGCAATGAGAGAAAAATCATTGAATTTGTCAATTAGATGATAAAAAATGAAGAGAGAAGATGATATTTTTAAAGAAGATACAATGAGAGAGAAAATCATTGAATTTGTCTATTAGATGATAAAAATGAGAGAAGATGTTGATAGATAGAAGATAATGAACATAAAATCAGATGATTAATGAACAGATGATAAATGGAGAGAGAAGATGATTGATTTTTAATGAACATAGCTTTATTAGAGAAAATCATTGCATTTGTCAAGATAGATGATAAAATGGAGATAGATAGATATTTTGAAGAAAATACTATTAAATAGATTGATTAATCAAGAAGATGATAATTGGATAGAGAAGATGTTGCATTTTTTCTAAGAAGATAGCAATGAGAAAGAAAAGATTGCATTTGTCATATGATAAATGGAGAGAGAAGACATTTTTTTCAAGAAGATAGCAATGAGAGAAAAAATCATTGCATTTAGATAGATGATAAAAAATGGAGAGAGAAGATTAGATTTTCAAGAAGATACAATGAGATAATGAAAATATTGCACCAAGAGATAATGAAGATGATAAATGGGAGAGAAGATGTTGCATTAGATCAAGAACAGATTTGTCAAGAAGATGAGAGAGAAAATCATTGCATAGATAGGACGCAGATAGATGATAAAAATGGAGAGAGAAGATGTTGCATTTTTCAAGAAGATAGCAATTAGAAAATCATTGCATTTAGATAGATGATAAAATGAGAGAGAAGATGTACATTTTCAAGATAAATAGCAGAAGATGAGAGAGAAAAATGATTGCATTTGTCAAGAAGATGATAAATGGAGAGAACAGACATTTTTTAGATAGATAGCAATAATGAAAAGATTGCATTTGTCAAGAAGATGATAAATGGGAGAGAGAAGATGTTGCATTTTTCAAGAAGATAGCAATGAGAAGAAAATCATTGATTTATCAGATAGATGATAAAAATGGAGAGAAGATATTTTCAAGAAGATAGCAATTTGAGAAGATAATGAACAAACTCATTAGATTAGATAGATGATAAAAATGGAAGAGACTATTAGATTTTTAAAGAAGATATTAGATAGATAAAAAAATCAGACATTTGTAGAGATGATAAATGGAGAGAGAAGATGTAGATTTTTCAAGAAGATAGCAATGATAGAGAAAATATTGCATTTGTCAACAGACTATCAAGAAGAAAATGGAAAAGATAGATGTTGCATTTTTCAAGAAGATAGCAATGAAGAGAAAATCATTGCATTTGTCAAGTAGAGATGATAAAAATGAAGAAGAAGACATTTTTTCAAGAAGATAAATGAAGAAAATGATTAGATTTGATAGATGATAAAATAGAGAGAGAAGATGTTGATTTTTCAAAAGATAGCAATTAGAGAGAAAATCATTGCATTTGTCAAGTAGATTATAAAAATGGAGAGAGAAGATAATGAACATTTTTTCAAGAAGATAGCAATGAGAGAGAAGAAAAATTGCATTTGTCAAATAGATGATAAAATATGAGAGAGATTTTTCATTATTGCATAGATAATGAAGATTGAGAGAATAGATAGATAATTTGTCAAGACTAAAAATAGATAATGAATGATTGAAAATGATTTTTCAAGAAGATAGCAATGAGAGAAAAATCATTATTTGATAGATAAAAATGAAGATACATTTTTTTAAGAACAGCAATGAGAGAAAAATCATTGCATTTTTATGATAAAAAAGAATAATGAAGAAGAGCAAGAGAGAAAATCATTGCATTTGTCAACATAGATGATAAATGGGAGAGAAATGAACATTTTTTCAAGAAGATAGCAATGAGAGAGAAAATCATTGCATTTTGTCAAATAGATGATAAAAATGGAGAGAAGATGTTAGATTTTTCAAGAAGATAGCAATGAGAGAGAAATGATTGCATTTGTCAAGAAGATGATAAATGGAGAGAGAAGATGTTGCATTTTTCAAGAAGATAGCAAATGAGAGAGAAAATCATTGCATTTGTCAAGATAGATGATAAATGGAGAGAGAAGATGTTAGATTTTCAAGAAGATAGCAATGAGAGAAAAGATTGCATTTGTCAATAGATGATAAAAATGGAGAAGAAGACATTTTTTCAAGAAGATAGCAATAGAGAGAAAATAGATTGCATTTGTCAAATAGATGATAAAAATGAGAGAGAAGATGTTGCATTTTCAAGAAGATAGCAATGAGAGAGAAAATAGATATTTGAACAGATGATAAAAATAGAGAGAGAAGATGTTGCATTTTTCAAGAGAGATAGATAGATAAAGAAAATCATTGCATTTGTCAAGAAGATGATAAAATGAAGAAGATGTTGCATTTTTTCAAGAAGATAGCAATGAGAGAGAAAATCATTGCATTTGTAAATAGATGTTGCATTTTTCAAAAATAGCAATGAGAGAGAAAACTATGTTGCATTTTTAAAGAAGATAGCAATGAGAGAAAAAATTGCAGAGAAAGATGAAAAAAATGGAGAGAGAAGATGTTGCATTTTTCGAAGAAGATAGCAATGAGAGAGAAAATCATTGCATTTTTAGAGAAGATGTTATTTTTCAAAGATAGCAATGAGAGAAAATCATTGCATCAAGAGATGATAAAAATGGAGAGAAGATGTTGCATTTTAATGAAGATAGCATTGAGAGAGAGAAAATCATTTGCATTTGATAAAATAGATGATAAAAATGGAGAGAGAAGATGTTGCATTTTTCAAGTAAATAGCAATGAGAGAGAAAATGAACATTTATTAGAAGATGATAAATGGAGAGAGAAGATGTTGCATTTTTTTCAAGAAGATAGCAATGAGAAAGAAAATCATTGCATTTGTCAAGAAGATGATAAATGGAGAGAGAAGATGTTGCATTTTTCAAGAAGATAGCAATGAGAAAGACTAAAATCATTGAACATTTGTCAAGAAGATGATAAAATGAGAGAGAAGATGTTGCATTTTAGAAGAAGATAGCAATGAGAAAGAAAATCATTAGATTTGTCAAGAAGATGATAAATGGATAAGAGAAGATGTTGCATAGATAAATAGCAATGAGAGAAAAAATGATTGCATTTGTCAAGAAGATGATAAATGGAGAGAGAAGATAATTTTTCAAGAAGATAGCAATTAGAGAGAAAATCAACATTTGTCAATTAGATGAGAAAAATGAGAGAGAGAAGATGTTGCATTTTTCAAGTAAATAGCAATGAGAGAGAAAATGATTGCATTTGTCAAGAAGATGATAAATGGAGAGAGAAGATGTTGCATTTTTCAAGAAGATAGCAATGAGAAAGAAAATCATTGCATTTGTCAAGAAGATGATAAATGGAGAGAGAAGATGTTGCATTTTTCAAGTAAATAGCAATGAGAGAGAAAATGATTGCATTTGTCAAGAAGATGATAAATGAGAGAGAAGATGTTGCATTTTTTCAAGAAGATAGCAATGAGAGAAAATCATTGCATTTGTCAATAGATGATAAAAATGGAGAGAAGATGTTGCATTTTTCAAGAAGATAGCAATGAGAGAGAAAATCATTGCATTTGTTAAGTAAATAATAAGAGTAAAGGAAAAAAACCTTGCATTTGCTGAGTAGATAATAAAAAATTGTATTTGTCATATTGATAGTAAAAGAGCAAAAATATAGCATTTATCAAATAGATTGTAAAGGGAAGAAAAGAGAGTTTTTGTTGGGAAGATACTGAGTTGAATGAAATGACATTGCATTTATCAAGTTGGTAGTAAAAGGAGAGAAAAGACTTTGCATTTGCTGTGTGGATTGTATTTAGAGAGAAAAAGACATTATATTTGAAGAGTAGATAGTGGAAAGAAAAAAGACATTACATTCATAAGGTAGATAGTAAGTGAAGATGGAAAACATACTGCATTTGTCAAATTGATTACAAGAGAGAAAAACATTATATTTGTAGAGTAGAGTGTAAGTGGAAGGAAAGAGCCATTTTATTTGTAAAGTAGAAAATAATCAGAAGAAAAAAAGACATTTCCTTTGTAGAGTACATCATAAGAGAAGAAAGGAAGACATTGCATTTTCTGAGTGATTATGTGCAGAAGGAAAAGACATGTTGAATTGGATAGTAAGTGGAAAGAAAAAAATATATTACATTTGTTAACAGTTGATAATAAGAAAAGATGGATAAATACTCTATTTGATAAATAGTAAGAAGAGAGAAATGAGACATCAAATTTGTTGAATATATATGAGTTACATTCCAGAAGTTTTAAAACTTTTTTTTTTACTTGAGGCAGTTATAACTGTCCTAGATTACAATAATATAATTTAGTATATCATTAATATACATCTAATAAGCTTACTTGCCAAAAGAAGACTGATGTAACAGTTCTGTGAAAACATTACTAAACATAATGAACAATGACTAGTTGTTAGAGTGGTTTCACAGTGGAGGCTTAGATTTGAACAGAAGTCAGTCCTAAATAGGTTGGACGTACAAAACGTTAGGAACTTGATATAATAGATAATGACGCAGTAATTAGTTGGGGTGGCTGATACTTAATATCAGACTAACGGTTTGTCCGACATTGACTGACTGACCAATTAGCAATGACTTGTTATAATCCTACTTATTATATGGGAGATTTATTAACTATAGAATAGGTGTGTTCCATGAATAAGACTAGTTTACAGAATATAAATCAGGACATGAAGACAATTTGAAAGTTCGCTATGCAATAAAATTTTGTGTTGACAGAGATGGACATCCAAACTGTTCCTCACCTTCCCTACAGTCCAGAGATTTCTCCCTGTGACTTTTGGTTGTTCTCCAAGCTGAAGGAGAACCTCAGAAAATTCACTGTGAAGACCATGAGAAGATGATGGAGGCTGTAACAAGGGAATGCTACACATTTACAAAGTGGTTGGAGTGCTACAAATGTATTGATATCAGAGGATCATACTTTGGATGAGATTAGAGTTTTGTACTTCTTTGAAATTAATAAATGTCTCTCCTGAAATGTCTGGAGTGCCTCAGACACTAAAATGGGGAAACTAAATAAAACTCAACTAGAAAAGTAAGTGATTATGAAAGAAAGTGAGTGATTATGAAAAATTATTGAATGCTTTTTTTTGGTCTCTCCAAGTGTAAAAAACTTTTTTGGTCTCTCCAAGTGTAAAAAAATTTTTTGGTCTTTCCAAGTGTAAAAAAATTTTTTGGTCTCTCCAAATGTAAAAAAATTAATTCGAGAAAAGATATTTTATTTTTGAAACAATTCTGAAAAAAAATTATTTATACTCTAAAAATAGATATGTAACATCAGAAGAGAAGCAAATGAAACTGTCAAAAGCTAGTGCACTTTGATTTAATAACTGAAGCAAGAAAATCAAATTATATTGCTTTAAAGATCAAATTTTTGCAACAGCTTTGAAATGCATGTTCAAAAAGAATCAATTTATGTGAGTGAACAAGGTTGAATCTTCTTATACAGTTTCAAGGATTTACTGACTGACTCAGGTGTGGAGTTAATGATTTTCTTCTCATTTCCCACAGTTTTACATTTTTGGAAATACAGTGACAGAAATTGCAACATTTTGAATATGTGTTTCAATTTACTCACCATTACATATACAAATAATACAGCTTGACTATAGTCCTATGTGTTGTGTCCTTTCTGGATGTGAGCAATCGTGGCTCTCCACAACTTTATAACTCTTAGTAAGGTTTATCCTTTGTGGTTCTTAGTAAGGCTTATCTGTTTTTTTAGGTTTTAGTAAGACTTATTAATTCAATATCCCTTCCAGTTCACATTCTGCCATCCATTTATACAAGCTTGTTAGGTAGGTTACTTGCTGTTTCCCCTCTGTCTCTCTTGCTTTCAAGAGATAGATAATGAACAGACTATTAGATTGATAGAGAGTGAACAGATTTTTTTTTATAGAGAGTGAATGAGTGCTAATTTTTTCCAAGTTCTTTTTCCTCATTATACATGGTATAAATTTCAACTGTCTCTTTCTGCAGTTAATGAACATATATTTTATTATGCATATCAATGTTCTCTCAACAGAATTAATATTAATTAGTATTAGAGTTAAAATAAGTTTCAACATATTCTTAAATTTATATGATAAATATACCACATGAAGTACAGCTTACAATATCAATTTTTTTTATTATATATATCTATAATAAACTTATTTAGTGGAGTGAGATTTTATTATGCAACTTGAAGGCAGTTCATGATATTGTAAAGACTATAGTTTCTATTTTTTTTTACCTGCCAAATCCTTTCAAGATGTAACAGTGATCATGGCTCTCTACAGTTTCTTGTATTTTGTTGTTCTAAATATTAGGTTGGTGCAAAAATATTGTCGTTTTTTGACATTAAGTTGAATGTAAAAAAAACGACAATATTTTTGCAATAGATTGAACAGATTACCATTAATGAACAGACTTTCCATTCTCACAATTTACTCCTGCATCTCTTGACATCCTTACAATGTTTTGTTCTTGGCATTCTTGGAGTGTGACCATTCAGAACCAGGTCTATGGGTGAAGTAATGTTCATTTGACCACTTTTGTTAATACCAAAGCACCAATGAGGCATTAAATCCAACATATGCAGCAATTCTCTAAAAGGGTCATAGCTAAAGGAAGAAGTGATGGATTTGTATCTTTCCCAAGGTTATTTGTGTATAAGTAAATATAATGAACCCAACTTGAATTTGAACTTAGCTTTGGACAAATCAGACTGAAAATACCAGTTCTTGTTTAATCGCTGAAGTAACATTGAGCTTGGTCATGGGGGTCCACTTCGAAATACCAGCTACTGTAAGCAACCTCCAATATGTATTTTAGCT